GGACCCCATGCACATTCTTGAAAGTCCTTGGGCACAGCTACATGGTCCGCACCAGTCCAGGCCCTCCAGGCCCATCGCCATCCAGCCTGTTTCCATGAAGGAAAGAGATCGGCCAAAGCTTTCATTCATTTTGGCCTGTTCTTGTGCGGCAGCCCTGCTGGAGCGCATGTCGAGGAGACAAGCTGGCTGGGAGGTGAGCGCGCACGTCCGCTGGCATAACGTTGCTGCTGGCATAGCTAGCGTGGCGGCTATAGTCAGGCTGCTAGCACAGGAAGCCGACGGAGCATGACGGTGGTCCTTGGGTGGTGGTTAAGAGCATATGGGTGAACTCAAGTGCAGGAGTGGAGCACAATGGGATATGTACCCGGTGATCTCGAGGTTGGCCGTGTGAGACGGTGGTTCTCAAAGGCGATCATTGCCTCCTGAGATTTTCTAATGTGCTCTACAGCTTGCTGCAACAACTTCTCATATTGGACACCAAACTCTACGATTCCAGGCGTTGCAGCTGGTCGGTTTACAGGAAGGAGGAAGTCTAGTGCAGACCTAGGCTTCCACCCCAAATGCAACTCATTTCGACTAACGTCGATGATGTTGTGTACAGCTTGGTTGCAGAGGTTGGCAATGAGAGGCAACCTTTCATCCTAGTCATCCTGGTTGGGCTTGATGTAATGCCTCAACAAATTTTGCACCACGCGGTTCATCTATTCCACTTGGTCGTTGGCTTCGAGATGATTCCCAGAAGTCATTTGGAGTTGGCTGCCCATCTGTTCAGCAGCCTTCTTCCACATTTTATTGTTGAACCAAACATCTCTATCACTAATAATGGTTTTGGGCAGTCCAAAGTCATCACCCAGTTATCCATGAATAACTTGATGATGTGCTTAGTCTTGGTAGTTTCTGGCAATGGGGATCAGTCCTGTGTACTTTGTAAACTTGTCTATTATAACGAAGATGTGCCTCTTGCCACTCTTGCTAGTCACGAGGGTGTCCATGAAATCCATGGAGACACTTTGTCGGAAACCTACAGGAATTGGCAAGGGCTCAAGTAACCCAAGTGGTGCTTGAGTTCACGGTTTATCCCGCTGACAGACTTGACAAGTGTGGACGTACTCCTTCGCATCATTAAGAATACTACGCCAACAGAAACGCTGCACTAAGTTAGCACTGTTTTTTTTGTGGCCAAAATGTCCCTTTGCATCATGACACTCGCCTAAAAATAAACTCCGCAAAATCTCACTAGAAGGCACACACACTCAAAAAAGAGTAACCCATCCACCATCACAAACTCGTCAGATGGGGCCGTATCTTGGGCCTCTAGTCTACGTATAATGTTCATCATGACAGGATCTTCCTTGTAGGCATCCACCAAAGATCGAGTTACATCTTTAGATAAGCCAAACTTAGTGATTAGCGCACTTAGGTAGTCTGCCCTAGGTGACAGCGCATCAGCAGCCTTGTTGTAATCCCCTTTCACATAGTCTAGTTTGAAATCATATTGATCGATGACTTCAATCACCTTTTAGTGTATCAGAGAGAACCAATTGCGTCTTGATCCACTTGAATATCTGATGGCTGGTCCTTAGATAGAAGAACCTTCCCAACAAATAACTCTAGTGGACAAAAGCTTTGAAATGGGCATAGAGTTCCCTTTCATAGGTGGGATTCGCCAACTCCTTCGATGGCATCTTCTTGCTCACGTACTCGATAGGCCTTAATGTTTTCCTCTAAGAGGATCCAACACTGCGCCTATGCCATATTCGCTTGCGTCAGTGGTCACGATGAATGGCTTCCCTGGACCAGGAACCATGAGAACCTCATGATGCACGAGGGCATACTTCAGCCCTTTGAAGGCATCCTCGCATTCGTCTGTCCATTCTCATGGAGTGTCAAGGTGTGTTAGATCGGTCAAGGGGACTGCTACAGTGCTATAGTTTTTCACAAAGTTGTGGTAGTAGCTCGTCATTCCCAAAAACGATCTGACCCCGATCACAGTCTAAGGTCGTGGTCAGTCACGAATGCTAGCCAACTTCGCATTTTTAGGCCTAATCCCATCTACGAATATCTCATGACCCAAGTACAAGATTTTAGTACGACCAGACTCACATTTCTCTAAGTTAATCTTATACTTGTATTGCTGCAGGATTGAAAGTTCAAGTTCTCCATGTTGCACATGCTCCTCGACTGTTCTACTGAAGATAAGAATATCGTCGTGGTACCCAACAGCAAACTATCCAAGTAGTCATGAATCCCCCAGTTCATGGCATGCTAGAATGTACCCGGTGCATGGCAAAGGCCAAAAGGCATCACTACAAATTCGTACAGACCGTACCTGGTCTGGAATGTCGTTTAGCGTTGATCTTCTGGTCTAATTGCAATCTAATGGTAGTCGGACGTTAAATCTATCTTTGTGAAGTACTTACTTCCTTGCACCCTATCCACTAGTTCGTCAATGTGTGGTAGAGGCTCGTCGTTCTTCATAATGATGGCATTGAGGCCTCTATAATCAATACACATCGTCAATGATCCCCCCTTCTTCGGAACAAATAGAACTGGTGACCCAAAGGTGAAGTACTCGGTCATATCGATCCCTTTTTTATGAGCTCTTTCAGTTATCAATGAAGCTTGTCCAACTCAAACGGAATCATCCTACAGATCCTCCCCTTTGGTGTCTTGCTACCTGGGATGATTTCTACAGCATGGACAAACTCCCCGTCTACGACTCTTGAAGGCTCCTCAAACAGATCAGGGTACTTAGCAACAATCACTTTTATCTCTAAGGGTGATTGAACGGCCTCTCCTTTCTCAGAGATAAAGACTATGTACATACCTTCCTCTTGGTTCTATTTATAATAACTATAAAACGTTGATGCACACATGCAACCATAGGAGTCTATCAAACTGCTAGCCTTATATTTAGCGAGTCTAATTGTCCTCCCTGTCGACAACACATGCTTAAGCAACTTTCGGTCGCAGTCGAACCGAGGCTTTGCAACCTCGAGGTAGTACATACATAATAACATGTCGAATGGCAGGTCGACGCTAACTAGGAACGAAATCTTAAGATTAAGTTCCCCACCTCCATAATAGAAGGTGCAGACCACGTCCTTGACGTAGTCATTGACGACCATGTGCTCTTTGTCGGCCAAGGTAGATGCTACAAACCTACCCAAGCGCTGCACCCTGTCCCCTAGGTGCAGTCTCTCAATGCAGTAGCGACTTATGAAGTTCTGCGTGGAGCCAATGTCTACGAAGGCACCACACTTGCGGCCACCTACACCGACTTCCACAACCAAATGCTCCCCTCTAGGACCTCTAGAAAGTGTCACCCAAGACTCACAAGGGTCCCTTGCCGACCACTCGGTTTCTAAGCCTGGCTTCAGACACATCTAACGAACAAAGAGTCATTTGGTCTAGATGGTATGCGGGGTGACTAGTGAGTCAATAGCCTCGGCCAACTCTTGAAGTGGTAACGGTACACCATCCACTTCAGCATGAGTAGACGCAGCAACAACTTCTATTGGCAAAATGTGTTTCCCTGGGTTGTGCTTGTAGAAGCACCACCCTGGGCGGAAAATCCCCCAAAACCACTTTGGCGGAATCTTTTGAAACACCTTCGCATTTTTGCATCTAAACTGTTGATGGCCATACTCGTTGGAGTCGATGCAAGCTCCTCGCGAATACGGTCCCTCCACACATCTTGATCCTGGTCAGCCCTCACCCAATCTGGAGTCTTGTTAGAGTTTGCCTCCGACTTTTTTGTTGGGTGCCCTTGCCACGACCAGCTGCCTTTCCTTTTATGATCGCGAGGTTTCCACCCTCTACAATATCCTCGTTGTCTACCTCTATGCCTTCCACAAGATCAGAAAGATTATCGATCTCGATTTGATTCCCCTCGGAATCAACCATCATCAATTGATTACCCTTTTTCTTCCACTCTTGTGGGCCACGATTGTGGAACCTTCTTCTTCCTCTCATCTACAACTATTTGTTGAGCCCGTCCCGACTTTGCCTCTGAATCTAAGGCCTTGTCGCTAAAGGTCTTGAGGGTGTGATAGTTGATGCTGGCCTTACAAACCATCAGATTTTTTATGTATGTGGGGCGACATCTCAAGAACATGGCTAGGAGGACTTGGGGATCATAGTGGACTCCCGGAACTACGACCAATTTCTCTATGGCACTGGTCTGGTCACACACGGTCTTGTACTTCTCAGTATCAAGACGGGCCAACGCGTCAGTGACTTGCTGAGCTTGCTGAGGGTTGTGCCATCGCGCCTCCACCAAGTCCATAAAGTTTTCCAAAGTCCGGGTATGTGCCCAATCGTTCATTCTCCCAGCAAATCCCTTTACCACTACATAACCGTTCGGCCATCCCGTTGTCGATCCTTCTAAATAAGAAGCGGCAGTGATCACCTCATCCTCACGCAGAATACGCTTAACCCTCACCCAAAATGGAATTGTCCTCAACGAAGTGTCAAGGGCCTCATCCTTCTTGTCTCCTATGAAGACAGTCGCAGGTTTCATTGGGGTCTTGGGATACCAAGGTTGTTGTGGTCCAATCTGTTCGACTTGCTGAGCCCGTGGCTGGACCGGCTGCTGCACTGCAGCTGCAGCCGCTGGACCTAAGTAGCACCTGATGAGACGCCATACAGAGGGACAAAGGGGCCTGTCATCACCGGTAAGAGAACTGGCGATGGAAATGTTGCCTGAGGTCGAACATTGGGCCCGTCACGTATGGAGGGGTGTGGTCCTCCTCTTCCCTGCATGACATTCAATATCTGATCAAGGGTGTGCTAGATGTCATCCAGTTTGGTGTCCATGTACACATACATGCTCAGCATGCCCGCCTTGAGCATTTTGGTTGTGTCGTCAAGGGTCGAGTCATCTAACCCTTCCAATGCAGCTTTGTCTGCCCTTCTGTTCTCTGACCTGGCTTTTCTATTTCTAATCTTCGTTTCTCTTTCGCTAGCTTCTCTAAGATCCTTCTTTTACCATAAGCGAATCAACTCTCCCCATTGGAGTGCTATTGCCTCCCTAGTGGGCAAAGGTGGTTGGTTGTACTGCGAGGCTGCCATGTGACTAAAAGAAGTGCATGCACTCATCCCGCTAGACGTAGCCTGCGAACTGGACGGCATGCCTAATGTCTGCTGACCCTGAGATGTAGCAGCAGAGGTAGTCATAGCTCCAGCAGTGGTTGTTGCCGATGTTGCTCTGTTGCTGCAGCTGCTTCCCTAGCCCTTTGCAAACGTTCGGTTGTTGCCTCCCGTTGTATAGCTATCTCGCCCTCAGGTGGTAAGGCCTGATGCACGATGGGAATCCTAAGAGATTCCTGTCGTGTCAACCGTCTCCCGTCAGATCTGTCCTCCCCACTACCTTGTCCGCTCATCGGCTAAGCAGGATACTGTCTGCACTGGAGCCCTCACTGCTGCCTACCACAGCTTGTGTCTGACCGGTTTTGGAAAATAAATAAATATCTGGCAGGTCACCCAGGTTACCGATCAAGTGATGTCAACAACAGCTACACAGACTGAGCAAAAGATTTATTCCTAATTCGATCAGTTCTCAAACCGCAGCTATATACCGAACAGGCAATGATAGACTACTACTGTTATATTCATAGTTGTTTGTCAGGTGTTAGCCGTTTGTGCACCTAAAGTAATCAAACTAAAAATAAATCAGTTGTGCAGATGTACACAGAAATGGAAATAATAATGATTGTATGTGAGCACCAATTGGAACCTTCCCTCTCTTGTATTTGACAATCCTTTGTTGCATCATCGAGCAGTGGTGTCTAAGGTGTGCAAAACGGCCACTCACGTGCCCAAGAAACCGTCTATGACCAGCCCTTCACTTTCTTTGTCCTTGCGTGCAACGAGCCTTACACTGACAGCCTGGCTGATCAAGAGGCAATTTAAGGACGGACCCCGAAGTCCTCAAGAATTATTTAACGTCGGAGACAAGACGACGATCATAGCCAGGTGTTGGTTTCCCCACAAGAGGTTCTTTATAGACGGTCTGGTACGCGTCTCCCCCACATAGGACTGGTCAGTCCACGACCCCCTCTATGCGCAGCAAAGAGCTGAAAGGACAATGCAGATTGGCCTGTGTGCACTACTACCGCGGGTTGGCATGGTTACCGTGACCCGTGATTCGTCCAGGGCCTTTCAAAGGCACCACCCTCTCCTGTCAGATGCGCCACCACAAAGAATGTCAACCCTCAAGGTAGAGTGCCCACGACTCCCGACCAAGAAGAGGCCTCTCAAGTTGAACTCCCTTCCTCACGGTAAGAAGAGATTGAGATAGGAAGATAAGGGAAGGGAACAACGTACCTGAAGATAGCTGCCCCCAATCACAGATTTCTCACCAATTGAGCCAACGTGCATTTTGATGACCGATCATAGCCTCGGTACCACACACAACGGATTTCGAAGCCTGGTTACCAGCCATTGCGTGTTTGAGATTCTAACCTCAGGCAAAATGCAATGTCAACATGCTCTCATCATTCTACATACATCCGTTGTCGCCACAGCCTTCCAGCCACGCTCCCCTCTACTCGAGAGTGGCTAACCAAGCCAGCGTCAATATATCCTTACTGCGTAAGAAGCTTCGACAGTGCACCAAGTAACAAAGTCGCCAGCACTGGTGATCGGCGATATCGAACGAGCTCCAATACCAAATTGCAAGGAATATGATCGAGAGTGATAGATAGAAATCCAAATTGCAAAATCACAAAGTACCAAGCAGAGAGCACAATTCACCAAGATGCCATCCGAATAAGAGCAATACAATGAACTCGTATGTCAATGTCAACGCTCTTTGCCCAAACCAACACAGTATTCAATGTCGCTCCTACTGATTGGCGCCCAGCGCCCAGTGCCCAGCCTACACTACTCAGCCTATCTAGCCTATCTACAGTCATGCAACAGGATCACACCGAAGTTGAAGACCAATGAACTTGACGTCATCACCAACGCAGACCGCCAGCATACACCAGGTATGTTCTCTCTCCTCCTCTCATCACACCGCCTCCCCTCTCCATGTGCCTCCCACCCGAAGACCACCATCACCATCACCACGCCTGCGCCCCAGCAGCCCGGCTATGGCTGTCGTGCGCCCGCTACCTCAGCAGCGCCCCTCTCACCTCAGCGCCCGCACGTGTCTGGCCCGCCTGCTAAGCGCAGCATCGCGAAGCAAAGCAGCAGCATGCCCTTCACAGGCCAGAATGCCCCGCCTGGCTAGGCCACTTTCCTTTATGGAAAGTGCAGCCCTGTGTCTGGCTGCCTGGGCCTGGCTGGGCGAGTTTCCACTAGCTTCCAGTTGGGCCCCTGCGTCTGCGCCAGGGCCTAGTTTCAGATACCCCGTACAGTTAGGCACATCCAAGCAGCTCCCCAGGCTCCAAGTGTTTGAAGCGATCTCATTGGCTTGTAGCATGTGTGTGACGCTGGATCTGCTTTTTCATACGTCTGTGGCCTCTCCCTGATGTGTCGGCCTCTCATTGCATGTGCCCAGGCCGCAACCACCTGAGCCCTGGGCTCAACTGTACGGCGCAGTTGCTGCTACTGGAAGGAGCCAGAAGAGGCCCACGTTGATCTGTAACTAACTGGCGTGCTGCAACTGTCTGATAGCCGACATACGAAAAATGTCTGAAGTAGGCCTCACGTGGATATTCAGGCCCACCTTCACTTAGGGAGGGCAAGAGGCTGGGTGGGGGCCTGAGCCCAGCACTTTTGCATGCCCGAGAAGGGCCTTTGTGGGGCTCAGTCCTCAAAAATGGTACCGACGTTTCGAACTTTGACAACATTTTGGCAATGATAATCCCAAAGAAAAACGACATCGTATACTATAAGGACATACTCAGACTAGGGACTTTTCTGCATGTATACCATGGCTTTTCCAACGTGGGAAGGATGCACCTGGCCACAATTACGTCCACAGAGAAGTTGAAAAAGTCCTACTAGTGTTGTGAGCAAGCCCTACTACCGACTTCACCCAAATAGAACGCCCTGTCATTATCCCTGTACTTGGGGCAACTTTCCGTCCAGATGCAGTAATAATGAAATTCGGGTGAAGACAGTAGTAGCAATGAATGCTTAGGTCATAGTAATCCAGCAATGTTGATTAGCTGCACGAGGACTTTCTCTGAATGTACCCAACCAAAATGACGCCCAGATCCTTTCCGACACCATTTCAAACTTCTTTGGGGTTGGGGGAGGGGGACAAAGGATTTTCTTTTTTAAGGCCACATAGGGGCTCGTTCCACTACCCTTGACTTGAGGAAAATCTCAAGGGCGGCCCTACAGCCGCCCTTGAGCCTGATCGTCATTACAGGTCAGTCATTCGCCCAGCACAACCGTAGTGGGAAAAAAACAAAACCCGTCATTGGCCCAGCACAATTGTAGTCCAGGAAAAAAAAAAAACAAAAAAAAAAAACACCTCACAGAGGGCGCTGGCACCCTTTTCAAGGAAATTTGACTCGCGGCTAGGGGCCTCGTTCCACTACCCTCGACTTTAAAAAATCTCAAGGGCGGCGCCGTTCCACTACGCCCTTGAGATGTGGTAATCACTATTGGAAAGTGATTAAGGTTCCCGCCTCAAGAAAGTCCCGCTCTGAAACTCGAGGGCGGCCGTAGGGTGCCCAGGCAACTTCGGCCAATTTTCAAGTCACCTCCCAGAGGTGACTTCAATTTTCTTAGAAACGGCGCCAACATGGGCCTCCAGGCAGCAGTTCAGCAGTTCAGCCCCCCCGTCCGGTCCTTTTCTTTTTTTTCTTTGCCAATCGTGGTTGTCCTAGCCCAGCGATGGACTTGGGTTGTGAAAATTCCCTAACGAACAGGGGCGCACATTTTCCCGCTCCTTATGCGAGCGGGAACTGCAGGGTGTAATGGAACGATGACGACCTCTAATATTTTTTAAACCACCAGTACCTCTCCCTGCTTGAGGGAATCGACGCAGCCGCCGCGTCGCGCGGGGTACCTACCGGCGTGCGACCGGTAGTCCCCAAAAAACGGGGCCAAAAAAAAAAACGACGACGAAAATGAAAAGTAACATCCTACAACAAACAGGCGCTGCGGGCGGGGAAGGGGGGAAAGAAAGAGAGAGAGAGAGAGAGAGAGAGAGAGAGAGAGAGAGAGAGAGAGCATTTAATCATTGAGTCTCTCTCTCTCTCTCTCTCTCTCAAATGCGGATGAATCTTCCACGTTATCGCGGAAGATTCATCCGCGTTAGAGAGAGAGAAAGAGAGAGAGAGAGAGAGAGAGAGAGAGAGAGCATTTGATCGTTGAGTCTCTCTCTCTCTCTCTCTCTCTCTCTCTCTCTCTCTCTCTCTCTCTCTCAGAACCTCTGACGAGAATGAATCTTCTTCTTTTTCGAGGAAGATTCATTCTCACAGGGCACGTCTGATTTCCTTTCTTTTTTTTTTTTTTTTTTGCTGAACGTTGTGTGTAATTTTTTTGTTCTTTTTGTTTTTTTTTTGTTTTTTTTGTTTTTTTTTTGTTTTTTTTGTTTTCCTTGATGTCCTACCGGTTGTCCGAGGCTCGGGAACGACCGGCCTACCGGTAGGCTGAGCCACGGGCCTTAACAACCGGCAGGTACTGGTGGTTTAATTACGTTTTGGCTCAACGGCGCCCGTAGGGCTGCCCTTGAGATTTTTTTCAAGTCGAGGGTAGTGGAACGAGGCCCTAGGAGGTACTCCAAAATTGGCCCAGTTTGCCCCAGTTTGCCTGGGCGCCCTACAGCCGCCCTTCAGTCTCAGAGCGGGATTGCCTTATGGCGGGAACATTAATCACTTTTCAATAATGATTAGTGAATCTCAAGGGCGTAGTGGAACCGCAACCCCCTCGAGATTTTCTCAGGTCGAGCGGTGTGGAACCAGCCCCATAATGCTTGGGGCGACGATTTCTTCTGAATGTAAATAACGGCCCGATTTCTTCAGCCAAAATCAAGAGGTGAGCATGCCCTAAACCGGTCGGGGGATAAAGCGCGCGCGGGAAATGGGTGAAGGATCACGGCTTTCCAAGTTCACAGATCCCGGCCGATCGGGATCCGATCGACCAAACGACCCCTCATGCTGCTCCAGCCAAAGAACTTCCGAACGAACGCTGTGGATTCGAACACTCGCAGCTCCGTTCACCAATCCGCTCTCATGTTGCCACATGGCAGAGAGCTGAGAAGACACGTGTTATCCACAAGAACGGTCCAAACGTATTACAGAGATCAAACTTTCAAAATGAAACACACATTCATCATCTTCGCCCCATCATCACCATCACCATCATCACAATCTCCATCGTCACCATCGTCACCATCGTCACCATCACCACCATCACCAACAACATCACCATCACCATCACCATCACCATGACCATCACCATCAACATCACCATCATCATCACCACCACCATCGTCATCACCATCGGCATTACCATCACCATAACCATCATCACCATCATCATCATCACCACCATCACCATCACCATCATCACCATCATCGCCATCACCATAACCATCCATACTCCGCCCTCTGCAACACAGCGGATGCCACACCACTGTCGCGGATACACACACCGACAAAGGGACGTCAACATCAGTTCAGAACACTCCCTTTATCGTGATCACCCCTCGCCAAAACGACGACAGATCATTTTGAAAAAACCCCGACGACAGATCATTTTGAAAAAACCCCGCCAAAACGACGACAGATCATTTTGAAAAAAAAAATTCTTTCTCTTTTTATTTATCATTCATCTACATACCTTTCTGTTTGATTCATTTACCACCTCCTTTTTTGTTCCGAACCTCCCTAAATACAACCCGACGTCATTACCGGAGAGGATGACATTATCAC